AAAAGAGCTCAAATACCCTCTATTTATGGCTGTATCTTAAAAAAAAAAAACTCAATATTAATAGTAATGGCTCAAATTCCACCTCATTTTAATCTCCACTTATATCCTGCAGGAACTCCATCGAAAATCTCTCAGTTATTTCTAGGAGTCCCTGGAAGTGTCTTTGTCAGCTCAGAATTTACTCATGGAATTTTGCTCTGGACAGCCTTGCATATGTCCTTGGCCTTGAGGGAGGCCACATGCTTTGTAAGTCATTCATTCAGGTAATGTTTTGGAATACTTTGTACCCATCACTGGGAGTAAGTCAGTGTTTGGTTTCTTAAAGTGTCCAAAGCTGGAAGTCCTCATGATGGTAATTGGCAGCCTCTCTATACCCCGACATCTCTCATTGACCTCCTGAAAACATTTCCTTCAGCTTTCCACCCCCCCCACAGTGTTTAGACACCTGTTCGCCCAGAAGAGTGTGGGGAGGGGATCATAAATTGTCTGTATTATCTTTCTCAGTCTCATCCCTCGGCTCCCCACTCTTTACAAATGGTCTCTATTGAGGTCTTGCGGTGGCATCAGGTGCTCTCTGAGTGTCTCCCTCTCTCCAGCATTTGTATGTCTGTTATAAAGGGAAAGTTTAAAGCATGTTTGACTTGGCATAGTTGATTGTCAAAAAATGACACTTGAAATGCATTTTGATGAGTTCTAATCTTCCAGTCTTCCTAGCTAGCTCTGCCTATGTTATCTTTTTTTCTTGACCTTCAGAGTTTAGCTTTGCTATCATCTGGGAACTTGTTAAAAATGAAGAATTTGGGGGCCTCCCTGGTGGCACAGGGGTTAAAAACAGTGCTATCACCAGCCACTACAGCATGAGTTCTATCCCCAGCCGGGCAGGGAGTGACCCACATGGCGCAGCAGATCTCTCCTGCTTCCCCAGCTGCTCCCCTCAGCAGTGTATTTCAGTAGATCTGCCAGTTCTGTTCCTTGCTTTCTGGTGAATCCTGTCACCTCCCCCTCCCCCCACACCTCTGGCTTACGCCTGAGTTCTTGTATGCATAAATAAATGAATCTTTAAAAAAGTGCAGAATTTTGACCATCATTCTAAACCTACTGAATCCAAATCTGAGTTTCTACTGATAATCCCACCATTTAACAAGGACCAGTGATTTGTATACATGATAAAATTTGAGAAAGTCTGGTTTCTGATAGCCTCCCACTCCCTAAATTTATGCTTTAGGTAATGGCGAGCTAGGTGGCTTTTCCCAATCTCCAAACATTAAAAAGAACTAAATAGAATTGAAAATGAGCTTGAGTTTATTTTTTAATTTAACACACATGGTCTTTAGATGCCCTCTAAAAAGCTATAAAAAATTGGACATAAATAGGGGTATCTCTCTTAGAGTCATGAATTATTGCAATAACTTAATCAAATGGGTCTGATTTGATCTTTATGTCATGTTGCTGGGTATCTATTGTAATATATTTATAGGGATACTAGTTACTAAGGAGAGAAGCCTGGCTTAAGTGCATTTCATTCCATAGAAAGATACCAAGATAATTCTTCAGAGAGCTCTTGAATCAATTTATTGACTGCTGAGCTTCAATATTAGTTAAGGTGTTTAAAAAGATCATGAGAAAGATCTTTCCACTCCTAATTTTTGATTTGAGGAAAACTCAATTCAGTAGAACTCTGTGTATATATATATATATATATATATGTGTATGTAACACACACTCACACACACACATACATAGACATGTGTATATACAAATATACAAATATGCATTTACCTACATGCATGTGTATACATAATAAGTATATGTGTGTACCACAAATGCTTAGTGAACAAGCCACAAGTATGGAAAAGTAAGTAAATGGTTGCATTTATCCCAACAGATCTATCTAGTTAAACCACAGTAATCAATCAATACTAAATTAACAATCTACAATCTATACTCAGTCATACATTCAGCCCTAAATCTATCACTGTTGCCAAGGAAGTAGAAAGCAGTGATTGGATTAGCGTAGGGCATGCATTAACACTGCTAAGCTGGGGAGTACCAGTGTCCTTTGAAACAAGGAGATACGAGGATGGAATGGGGCAAATGGGGCTTTCCTAAAGCCATTATCATGTATCCATGATAGAAGAATTTCAGTCTTAGGCAGAGAAAAGGGCTTGTGTGAGGTCCTTCAAGGTCATGGATCACTTGCAGGGGAAATGGCAAGCAACTGTTATGGCTAGAGTAAATAATATCTAAAATCTCTGACCACTAAGACCACAAGAACCAGACCATAATTATGTCGCGCTGAAGCAAGTATGAAATTGTTTCATAATCAACACTCTTTCAAAATAAGACATGTATTCTTACAGAGTTGAGATACGAGATCTGGAAGATACAGATAATCAGAGAGTTTAAATGCAGAAGTCTCAAAAGAGTTTCACATAAAAAGACTTATGTTCTCAAAGATCTTAGCAATTCTTCTTCCAGCTAGAGCTGACTACCCTCAATTATAGGTTCTATTTGTGGGTCCCTGAACTTGATACTTGAAAACTTCCCTTGAGAATTACCTGTCAAAAGCATGCTTTGTCCAGCTGAAAACTAGGTTTATAAATACTTCAGCCTTTTTTAACACTGCCTCTGCAGAGTCATACACCACTTTTTTAAAGAAGTCATCAATTGGGGGTGACCTTTTCAAAAGAGTCAGGAATTCAGGAATCAAATTGATTCTGTACCTTTGTAGTATTGCTAGTTACAAAGCATGTTTTTGAAAGATGTCAAATAGAATACTTAACAACAAACTCTGTAATGAAGGTATATTGATGTTTGGTTATAGATCATAAACTGATACTTGAAAAGGTGAATGATTTTCTTTAAAATACACAGGAGCTCAGTGGCAAATAACCCTTTAGGTTAGAGACCCTTATCCCAAATCCAATAATTCTTCATCTGTGCACTTTCCTATCAGGAATAAAGTGGACTTTAGCAGAAACCTCTCATTTATTAAAACATAAATTGAATAACAGAACCCAGATCATATTTTAAGCTACTCAGTTGTAATTGGGATTGTGGCAATAGTTTGTTAATATTGATGCCACTAAAACATTAAAAAATATGAAGAACACACTTTCAAAATAAATGTGGGTAAAATGCCATCTTGTTTGGATGGATCTCACGTTTTATTTGTATATCCAAGGTCATTTACATTTGGGCTCCAACCACTTCCAAAAGCCCTCCCATTGCCCATGCTGTGTTTTTTTTTAATTAATTAACTTTTAATTGAGGCTATTACCACCCCATAGTCCAGCACCACAGGGAGATTAATGGAGTTTCTGTCTCCCGATTCAGAGAAATGTCGGGTGACCCCACAGGACCTTTAAACCCCACACAGGTGTCCCACAGGGAGAGCACATGTTTGGGTGCCCGCAGGTAGCTTAGCTAGAGCAGCCGCCATGATCAGGTGAGAACTGCAGATGCAATTCCAGATAAAGAAAGAAATATTTGCTCTGCTTCCCTCCCCTCCCCCATAGTAGCTGCCACTGACAGAAAGAGAAAGGCAGGGGGAGAAGGACAAAAACAGCGATGAAGATGGAGTCCCTCTGCCCGGCTCCAGCTCCTTAAGCCAGAGTCAACATGGGGGCAGTGGTGGTGCAACAGCGGGTTCACGCATGAGTCCCCCGCTGCTCAAACCCTTGCAGGTGCCTACCAGGCCTGTTCCAGGTCTCACCCTGGTGGCTTCTACGAGCTAAGATCTGCACACTGGATTCGCGTTAACCTGACAAAAACCTTGGAAAATCCATTGTGGGCCTCATCCGGCATGAACTCACCCTGTGTTTCCACTGATCAATTGGAGCAAAGTGCTTGCTAGCCCAACTTTACTTACGTTTCAGGCCCATCCTCAGCCTGGTCCATCCTCAGCCTCATCCATCCCTCCTGACAACACCTGAGCTCGGGATAAAATGGTCTGTCTTCTGCTGTCCCAGCCGCCCTCCACTCACTCATCTCCACCCACTCCCCACAGCAGCTTCTTGCTAGCAATGTGCACTCCTCTATAAAAGATAACGCCCTGTGCCCCCGCCTTGACACCACTGCAGAGTGCTCCCGCTGATGCCATAGTCCTTCCCCAATGCCAGGCCCTCCCCATCTTGTCCTAACTCTTTTAAATAAAGTCTCCCCTTGCTAAAGTCCGGAGTTTGTTTTTACATGCCACTGCCCTCTGGCTGATAGGAGAATTCTTCTTTACATAAACCCATCATGCCTTCTTACTAGTGAGGAGGAAAGCACCCTTGTTTCCCATTGTCTTATATTACATAAATTCTAATGATTTACTTCCTGAATCCTAAGAGCAATGATTCATTCACCTCTAAGCCTGGGGGGTTTACTTGCCTCTTGTTGCTTTAGCTCCAGATCTGTAGACTCTTTGTCTTGTGCCTCTTTCTCCTTTTCCCCAAACTTGCTGTAAAGGCCACAACCCATGGGTGTCCTTTAAAGGAAGTGGGGAAGGAGAGGACACAGGATGCTGGTCTTCTGGTAGCCTCTGGGTTTCCTAGAGTAAAGCTGCAGGCTGCTCCTCTTTACCCTGACACCCCCATGGCCTCAGTGTCTGCCACTTAGCTGCATTATTTATATCAGGGTTCTTCAACCAATGATGGCATTTGCTCCCCAGGGGACACTGGTGATCTGGGGAACAATTCTAGCTGTCCTAATTGCTAGGAGGTGGTTATTGGAATCTAGTGGGTAGGACCCCAGGGTGCTGCTAAACATCTTTCAGTGTCCAGGACAACCCTCTTGACAAAGAGTTATTCAGCCCCAATGTCAATAGTGCCAAGCGTGAGACATGCTGATTATTGATGCTGGCAAATTTAATCAAAGAACACTCACTTTTTCAAGAACTGAACATGGGACAGAAACATTTATCTATGACCTAGATGTACCTTCATTCCATCAATCTCCTATTTTTTTTTTTCTTCTTAAACTTTTTGGTGAAACAAGGATCCACAATTATGCAACAAAAGTTTATTGATAAGTTTGCAACATTGGGTACAACATATATAACTTCATCACGTGGTTACAATCCAGTATTTGTGCTTTGCAGGATAAGTAAACTCATTTGAGCACAACAAAAGTCTACACACGATATTCTGGGGTTGTTTAAAAAATAAATATATCATTTCCATTTAGTCACACAAAGAACTTCCAGTTTGAGATGATGGATACATTTTAGAATTTGATATTTGGTTAATGTGTCACTGAAACCTAAATTTGGGCCATTTGTCATAAATGCCTCATGAGCCCTGGCAATGATTCCCAGGGGGGTGAGTGTGTGGGGCGAGCTTCCTGATATTTCAGAATGTGGATGACATACGAGGTCTGCATCGAGGGAGCCGGGCCTTGTTCACAACTACAATTACTTCAGAACCTTTAAAAAAGTGTGAAAACAGTATCTCAGGAATTCTTTAATAAACACCTTCTTTGATCAAGAAAATAAAAGCCAATATAGCTTATTTATTGGAAGGGACAGAAGACTCATCAGGGAGATACCTTTATCTTTCAAAAGAGTAAATCTCTGTTATTAAAATACTTAAAATATGACCCAGTTTTCTTTTTTCCAAATGAAATGCCAATAGCTTTGCACCAGGAGAAGTCTATGATCCTAGCTGGTCATATCATATCCTGCATCCATCATCCAAAGACCATGTCTTCCCTGTGGGTACCACACACTGATGAAGCAGGGGCTGCTGAGCTCATGTCAATATCTGACTTCAGGTAAGAATCCCCTCATGTGAACCCTTCAGTCAACTATATATTATGTAGGATAACAATCTCTCTATCATTTACAATAAAAATAAAATGGAAGTTTATGCTTTATATAGTTGAATACACAAGCAACTTTTTTTCTCAAAAGACTTTTTTTTTTTTTAATAAGAAAGAAAGCTTTCCCTTAGGGTAAGAATTCTATAATCATGTCATCCAAGCAATGAAGAGTCAGAAATGACAATCTTTGATTGATCTTCCTCTCTTTCTCACCTGAAGGCAATAGTTTCATGGGCTGCTGTTGGGGAGATTCAGAGTTTTTATCAGTGTGCTGAGTGAGTAAGGGAAATCACCTCAGTAGAAACCATTGATAATTCTCTTGCTTTTCTGTTAATGTCCACTGAGGTTGGTCTCAAAGTGCAATCATTCACATCAAAATTATGGAAATTTGTCAGCTATATCTTAAGACTTTATTTGGGCTAATGCCTCCTTAAATTGCTCAGAAAAGCAAAGTCAAGGTCACAAAATTATTCTGACCAGTGACTTTGTTTCTAGTTGAGTTATATAATTGGAGACATGACATATCATTTCATATCGTCAAAAATATGTAAGTACAATTTCCTTGGTGTTTGGACCTCGTTATAAGCTTTTAATTTGAGTCCCATTAAGATTTCATTAAGGTCTGTTTTCCAGACATTCTAACACAAGCTATTTTGAAATCGGCCACAGGTAGTATTGATCTGTACAGACCTATATTTTGATTTTCTTCACATTTTTCCATGTGCAATAGTCTTGAGAAGCAGATTTTTTTTATAGCTCTGCTAATGTGATGTGATGTTTTGAGAAAATTTAGAGCAAATCACTGTAATCTAAGCTGGAATAAAGGAAAAGAATACTCTACAGATAGCACTGCCTTATCCCAGCTCCAACAGCCAGTCGAAGAGACTCGGGGTGTCTTCCTTTTGCTCCTCATGCATTTTGCAGTACTGGACAACTGCGTGGAAGATATCCCCCACTTTCCAGGACTTCTGATGGACCAGACGCACGACATCTAGAAACTAAAATGAAGCATAGAGTTAAGACACACATATCACAGAGGATCCTCAAAATCATCTCATTCAAACATCCTTCCAGAGGCAAAAGCTCTCCAGGCTATTTTTGAATATCACTAGTGATGGGGGACTATTTTCCAGACAGTCTGTTTTCTTTTTAGACAGTTCAAATTATTAAAGAGTTATTTCAACTGAAGTCTAATTTTCTTCACAATAGTGGTCATCCATGTGGGATACAAGTTGGAATTCTTCATTCCAGACTAATTCTTCTGGATACATGAACAGTTTCCTCAGGCCTACTTTCTTCTCTGGGTTGGACCCTTTTTGAAAGGAATGTATATAGCATGTACAGCATGATACCTGGTCCCTTCTATCTGTATCACAGATAATCTCATTGAATGTGTACAGAAAGGCCAAATAAACAAAGTGACAAACATTTGGGTTTGGTCACCTTATTCCACTTTGAGAAATTCCCTTCCCCACCATCAAGATCAAAAGAGATTGGATTTTCATTACAAAAGGAATTGCAGTCAACAGTCCTGTGAAATGGTCACTGACTAATGAAGAATGAGAGCTTGAGAGATGAAAAGTTGGGATTTGACATCCACATGTTCTTCTAACATCCTGTATAATGCTCTTTGTTCTACAGCACCCTATGTATGTAAGTGGTAGGAGAATATGTAACATTGATATTTATTTAGAACATTGGGCAAGAAGATACACTGGGAATCTGGTACAGTTTTCTGATAAAGAAAGATCTATTTGTTAAAAAACATGAACTGTTGTGATTTAGTTACATTTCTTCAGTATTTCCGTCTAGGACTTTTTTTGCTCTGTTCTTTTGTGTTTGCTCAGACTTTCAAGATGAGCCAGTAACTAGAATGTCAATTTTTTTCCTGATCTTTTCCCTCTGTTCAGCTCGGATTTGTTAATTCATTTCAATTACTGGGAAGTTGTCACATAGAGCTACTATTAAATTGGGCTTCTTCTCCAGCTGTGATGACACTACTTGCACAGTTACAGAAATCAGCACTTTATTGTACATGCTTGCTTTGTGTTGACTTAATCAGAATAAAGAACTTTTTTAGGTTGTAAAATGAAACACTTAACTTTTTACATGGAAATATAAACACTATCTCAAAGAGTTTTAGGATGATGTAAAAAGGAAGACAGATGGCAAGCCAGTAGCAATTATATTATAGATTGTATTCTCACTGGGACAGGACAGCATCTCAGCCATCATTTCATATCTTGTGTCTGCACCTAATAGGTGCTAAAAAAATTTGCTAATGACAGAAGGAATGACAAAATGTAAATTAAATACATTCAAAATGATCAAGATTATTTGAAATGTGGAATACTATCCAGATTCATCAAGGTTGAACTTTGTCTAAGAATTTATCCTTGAGTTTTATGTATTTACACATCTATTCTAAAAATATGAATGGAGGTATCACAATCACAGATTTCAAACTACATTACAAAGCTGTAGTAATCAAAATAGCATGGTATTGGAATAAAACTAGATACACAGACAGAGAGAATGGAATTGAGAGCCCATAACAATCCCACACTTACATGGACATAACCTTTGACAAAGGAGCCAAGAGTATGTGATGAAATAAGGAAAGCCTATCAAAAAATGGTGTTAGGAAAATTGGACAGCCATATGCAAAAGAATGAAACTAAGCCACCTTCTCAAACCATACACAAAAAGTAACTCACAATGGGTTAATAATGTGGATGTAAAACATGAAACCATAAAATACATAGAAGAAAACATCAACAAAACACTCCAAGACATTGGCTTCAGAGACATATTTAGGGACTCAACTCCAACAACAGAGGAAACAAAAGCAAAGATAAACAAGTGGAACTACATCAAACTAAAATGCTTCTGCACAGCAAAAGAAACTATCATTACAATGAAGCACTACTCCTTCACCACGAAATGGGAGAAATTATTTGCATACCCTACATCTGACATGATCTGTAAGTCCAAGATTTACAAAGAACTCAGGCAATTGAACAAAAGGAAAACAAATAGCCCAATGGGCGGGGGAGGGAGGAATGGGCAGAAGAACTATATAGATATTTCTCTAAAAAAGGTATGCAGAAAACCAACAGGCACAGGAAAAAAAATAAATGTTCATCATCACTTATCACCAGGGAAATGCAAACAAGAATCATGCTGAGATGCCATCTCACACCTATGAAAATAGCCTATATCAAAAAGGCCAGAAATAACAAATTTTAACAAGAATGTGGAGAAAAAGAAATCCTCTTATACTGTTGCTGGGAGTGCAGACTATTCCGGCCCCTACCAAATACAGTATGGAGTTTTTTAAAAAAATATTAAAAATAGATCTACCATCTGATCCAGCAATTCTACTCCTAGGTATCTATTGGAATTATATTAAAACACAAATTTGAAGGGAAATATATACTCCTATGCTCATTGTAGCACTATTTATAATAGCCAAGTTAAGAAAGAAACCTTAGCGTCCAAGGGAAGAAAGTAGATTAAGAAGGTGTGGTGTGGATACACAATGGAATACTACTCTTCTACAAAAGATAAAACATTGTAATTTGAACCCATATGGATGGAGATTATATTAAGTGAAATAAGTCAGAATGAGATAGGCAAACAGCAGATGGTTTCACTCATATGTAGAATACAGAGGAAGAAAACAAAGGAATAGACAAAGGCAAGACAAATAACCCTGGAAATTTGATTGTAGCATTGAGGGTGTCAGAGGGAGAGATAGGTGGGGAGCAAAAGGTGGAAGTATTCCAAAGGACTCTTGTAGGAACTACAGGTGCCTTGGTGGTGAGTATGAACCTATACCTCTAAATCATAATCAGTGCTTTGAACCAATGTTACCTCAATAACAAAGTAGTAGAAAAAAAATAAATGAAGCTACTTTATTAAAAAAAAAAACAAACTAAAAATACACAGTCACATTTTGGGGTTACATACTCAATAATTTTCTATTAATAGGGTGCTTCACAAAAATGACTGGAGACTGAATCTAGGCAAAGAAGAACCGAGATTGGGGCAATGGCACTAGAGAAGGGGCAAACATGGAGCTTGTCTCTTAGGGCACAGTGACTGGGTAAAATGATGTACTTTGAGAGGGCAGGACACTCTCTTTGCACTGCTCACTACAACAGTAATGGGGTGCCAGCTCCATTCAGTTCCATCGGCCCTAGTGATAGAATTTCAGACACTATTAGTTATCCGATCTTCCTTGCTGAGCTTTAGGTCAGTCAGATTCCTGAAATTTTAGAAAGAGAGCATAATAAACCTTTTAGGTAAAGGTTTTGTTTAAAATGCAAATAACTTCAGAAAGAGGAACTTGTCTATTAGTAATTTATGGAGATTCATCTAAATAATTTTCTGAGCTGGTACTTATATCTTGGTGCGTATGAATGATCTGAGGCATAATTTTTATATTGGACAATGTGAGGCCTAAGAGAAAAAGAAGAAAGGCTAGAATGTCTTTACATGATTCAATGAATCATTTTCATAGTTCTTCCTGGTTGTCTGGCGAGCAGGAGCTCTAGGTAAGAAGATTTGCCCATTGTTTCTTAAGTCTCATTGAGAGTTGTTCATAATCATCACCTTCTCTTCAGGATTTTCCTCAAGGTCACTGATGGCCTTATATGAGTCTTATCCCTTGAGGGTGTCTCTTATAAAGACGCCGTCAATACAAAGTCACAGAAACATAAAATTAGCCGTATCACCTTTCATTATTCTTTCTGTAAACTCTGGTGCTCTGAGTCACCACATTATTCCCAAGTTTTGTCACTAAGTCATGGCTCTAAGAGACAATCCAAGCTTTGGGGAGATGCCAGTATTTTCTAAACCCTTCCCAGAAGGCTCTGCTGCAGACCTTTCTACAAGCCTGATACCAGTCTCTTTGCATCTATGTAGGATCTACTGGAGGAGGGTCCCTCTCTGAGGGAGACCACAGGATGTTGTTGACTGACCCAAAGTTGCCAAAATGCCTCCGCCGTGAGCCCATCCTGCCAGTCATGTATGCAATGGTCCCAGGCTAGAATATGCCTCATGTTTTGACATCATTTAAATTTAACATAAGGCCAATAACCCAAGACAATTTCTCGTGTTTACAAATAAAGAGAATGAATGTCTCTGTCCCCTTCCCCAATATCATATACTGGAGCCTTAACCTGAAATGTGATGGGTATTAGGAGGGGGGTCTTTGGGAAATAATTAGGGTTAGAAGAGGTCATGAGGATGGGGCTCTCATAATAAAAGGGACACCAGAGCTCACACTGCCCTGTGAGGACACAGCTGTGGAACATGCCGCACCTTCATCTTGCACTGCTGGGCCCCAGAGCTGTGTGAAATGAATGTCAGTGTGTCAGACACTCAGTCTCTGGTACTTTATTATAGCAGTCAGAGCTAAGACAGCCTAACTCTTCCTTGTTTTTCCTTCCTTTGTTAAGTCTTCAAAACTGAGATCTTAAGGGCAGTATTTTGGGAAATGTGTGGTTAACAATCAATGTTATCAATGTTTCCCTCTCCTTCTCCTTTCAGCACTTTGCATGTGGAATGGAGTCAAGTGGGGAGGGGGCTTGACAGGCCTTCTTAGAGGACTGTGGGAGCCGTAGTGGTGGGTGGGAAGTGGTAACATACATCTGAAGGAGTGTGATCCTACACCTCTGGATCATCTGTGGTGTTGTAAACAATGTTACCTCAATACAAAAAAGAAATTAGGGGGAAGCCACTCTACTTCTGACCCCCATTTTCTTAAGATAAGCAGGCATCTGTTTCCTCTCTTCATACATTCTGTTCGAGGCATTGCCTTTGAGGAAAACAAGTAATTCTCACAGCTGAAAGAGGAGAAAGGGCCAGTCAACAGCCCACTCCAATTCACAGAAACCTACTCATTTTAAACAGAAGGAAAAGATTTGTAAAGCAATGATGCTTCCTATCCCAAACATGAGACAATTAGCTGTAAGTGGAAGATGAGGTGATGGGTCTTATTGATCTAAAAGCTTCTTAAGTTCATTCTGGATTTATCATTTTCATAGAGTGAAGTAATGGTGGGAAAATACCAATTGGTGTCATAACTACTTGCTTTTTCCTTTTCTGTTCCATTTTTTTTGTACCTTGAATCAAGTAGGTTAAATTTAAATGATGTCAAGGTCATTGAAAATTAAATTTGCAAGCTGTTTTAGATTTTTTAGGTGTTAGTATTCTCAACCATATTCTCCCTGGAATACAAAAAAATCACTTCAAATTCTGCCACTCTTGGGCCTCCCTGGTGGTACAAGGGGTTAAGCACAGCACTCTGAGGCTATCTGCAACCTCTGTAGTATGAGTTGATTCCTGGCTGGGCAGGGAGCTGACCATGCTGGCCATGGGGCAGCAGACCTCTCCTGTTTTGCCTGCTGCTTCCCTCAGCAGTGTCTTTCAATCAGTCTGCTGTTGTGTTCCCTACTGTCTCTGGTGAATCCTCTCACCCCCTGCACCTCTGGCCTGTACCCCTATTCTTGTATGTATAAATAAATAAATCTTTTAAAAACAAACAAATTCTGCCAACTTTCAGGATATTTTCACTGAGGCGGTCCCCAGCTTTAGTGTTCATCAGAGTCACTTAATTTGAGGGGAGGTGTTAAAAATGCATATTTCTGGGCCCAATCCTCAATAACCACTAGGTCCAAGAAGGGGCAGAGGGGCATTATTGGTAAATAAGTGTTTCCTGTGATTCTGTGCATTCGATTCATCATTAAGGTGTGATAAATATATATATATATATATTTTTTTTTTTAGAGGCATGTTTTATTTATTTATTTTTATTTATTTGTTTGTTTGTTTTGTTTATACATGCACTGGGTACAGTCAGAAGCGCGGGAGGGTGAGAGAATTCACCAGAGCCAGAGCAGGGAGCAGAGCAGGCAGAAGGACCGAAGTACACTGCTGAGGGTGATAAATATATTTTTTAATACGGACAAAACACAGGAAAGAGCAAGTTTGAAAGTGAAGATGTCATTTACTGGGTAGGAATGACAGTGCCCTGGATGGCCACAATATTTGGAATTTGACTTTTGAATGGACTCAAAGCTGGGATTAGTTACCAGTTGACTATAAGTGCAATTCAACTCCAAGGCTAAATTCATAGACAGTGGTGGGGAGGATGAACTGCTTCATTTTCATTTATGACATTCTCTACCCATTTAACTCTTGTCTGTATTTTCATATAGTAGGAGGATTAAAAGTTGGGAACCTATTAAGGGATATATGTTAACTAAATTAATCTATCCCCAAAATTCAAAATTCTTATAAATTCCCAGGGTTTACATCTGTGAATGGTGACTGGCAGTTGAATGTTGGAGAGAAAATGACATTTCTGAACTTCACGGAGATGTTACTTTAACCTTCTCCAAGCAATGAATTGCTAATGAGACACTGTTGCTTTAGTCTGATAGTGTCAAGGTAGGAAGCCACCTTCCTCTTAAAACAGCGATCCTTAATCCCTAGGCCCATGAATAAGATGAGATAAACATAGCCTTATTATGTTGCCTTAATGGCAAAAGAAATTCTTTGGTTAACTTTGCATTAATCAAAAAGAAGACTATGTGATGGACCTAATCTAATTGCATGAATCTTTCAAAAATCCAAGAGTGGCGGTGGCTGAAAAAGTAAGAGATTGACAGCATGAGTACATGGAGGGGCCACAAGACATCTGGGCAGCTTCTAGAAGGTGAGGTTGGCCCCCAGCTAACGGTCAGCAAGGAAATGGGGATTTCAGTTCTACAGCCACAAGGAACTGAATTAGAACAATCACTTGAACAAAGTTGGAAGCTTATTTTCCCCCATAGTTTCCAGATAAGTGGCCAGCCAGGTTGCCATATTGATTTCTGTCTTGTTAGTCCCTGAACAGAGAGCATAGTAACATTCACCCAAAATCTGACCTGCAGAGTTGGGTGTGATGGTTTTAAACTAGTAAATTTGTGGCAGTTGGTCATGTAGCAATAGAAAACTAGTAAGCCAACATTATTATTATTATTCCTCAGTCTCTTAACAGCATCCTGTTATATTATGGAAAATTGATCTTGAACGCAGATGGATTTATCCCTTAATCTTATTAACTGAGATTGTACCAAAGTTAGTGGTAGGTCTTAGAGATATGGAATCAGTCATAGTTGGTATTAATCTTGATGTTGCTCAGGGCTCTGTTCACCAACTTCACATTTCTGGCAAGTGGAGAATGATAATGAAGAAGTCCACCTAATGTAAAGTTTGCTTTGTAAGAAATTAAAAATGTATTCTCCTGGGCCTTCCCTTGAGGTGCAGTGGTTAAGCGCTGGGCTGCAAAGCTGCCTGCAGACTCTGCAGTGCCCGTTTGATCCCCGGCCACTGGTGAGGGTCCCACATGGCACGGCAGACCTTTCCTGCTGCCCACTGCTCCCCTCAGCAGTGTATTTCATCAGTCTGCCTGTTCTGCTCCCTGCTCTGGCTCTGGTGAATTCTCTCACCCTCCCACACTTCTGACTGTACCCAGTGCTTATATAAATTAAAAAAATAAATTAAAAAAATGCATTCTCCTGACACCATGCTACATCTGTTTTAAACATCAGCGTGGCCTCACATTGATTTCTAGTATAAACCAATCCTTTCTTTCTACCTTGTATTTAAATGAATGTTATGAAGAGGTTGATTCCAGAGCACAGGATTATCAAGAACAACAGACTTTTTGATAAATTCCCACTGCCTCAATTTACTTTCTCACCATCACCAAAGAGCTGAGACAAACTGAGCATCAAAGAAATAGTAATCATGATTATATCTGGGCAGGTGGGAAGTATCATAGTTGAAAACAATTTTAAGGTTAAGAATTTGAGAATAAATAATGCAAATTTGAATGAATTAACTGGACAATTACTGAGTTTCAGCAGTGATAAAAACACAAAGCTCTAGCAATATGCAAACCTGAACATGATACCTTTTCAATTCTGCTCTCCTGGGATTTCTTAAAGTAGATGGTGGGAATCCCAAGCTCAGAGGCAGCGATCCACTGCAGAGTGGCTCGAAGCTCAGCGTCAGGACACTCTGGCTCCAGGTCAAAGTTGATCACCAGCAGGCTGCCCTGGTGGCCGGCTGCTCCCACCGGGAGTCCAGGGGCCGGTTCTGCACACAGACACAACCACAGCCTCACTACACTTGCTACAGGGAGCTTGCAGGCAAATTGTGTGTCAGAATTACGGGAATGTGGCTTACCCTCTACGTTTTCTGACTGTCCTTTAAGAATCTCCTTCTCTTCTACTAATTCACTTTGGGAGAAAACAACAGTACATGATTGGTCATGTTTAGGAAGAGTAAGCTGTAAATGGAAGATGAAGTGATGGGTCTTATTGATCTAGAAGCTTCTTAAGTTCATTCTGGATTTATCATTTTCATTGAGTGAAGTAACACTGGGAAAATACCAATGAGGCTATGACAAGGACTACTGGGTCTGTGATAAATATCCCCACCCCTATAAAACAAACAAAAGGAAAGGCCTGATAACCTAGTGGTTTTAGTTGGGATGATTGGCATAGGAGACTCTGAGAGAAGCATCCTTCTATCTCCGTCATCTGTCTTCCATGATCCTTCGCAGATTTAAATAGTCAAGAGGGGATTTTGTGGGACACTAGCTCTGGGATGAAAATTTATATTTATCTCTTTCATATTTTATTGTCATTTAAAGGACACATGTTCCCATGTTGATGTCATTATTTTTTCAGAATGTGACAACAAACATTTCAGTTCAGGAGAACATGTTTTCTATATGGTCCTCTGATCTAAAATAAGGGGCAAAAAAACCAACATACTGCAAAATAACTTAATTGCTTGAATTTTTTGTTTCTTTCCTTTTATAGAAGGGTGGAGTTGGCTGGAAGTAATCTAGCACTAGCGACTCTCAACGAAAGTGAATATTTCATTAGATTTGGTCACGTGCAATATTTGAGATGTTTTTATAAGTGAATACTTGTTAGTGAGCCTGGTGTCCAGCGTGAGAAGCTATGACTGGACCTGACAGCAGGAAGGAAGGGGTAATCTTGAGAACCTCATGGTGCCCTATACCTTTGTCCTGGCAGCAAATGAAAGGACTGGGCCTCTTTAACATGTGTCTTTTTATGAGCTGATTCTCCCCTGCAGTCTCTGTTACTGCTAGGACCTGGTTGGTAAGCTCCACTGCCTTTCTGATGTTGAGAGAAAGTGCAGTTGCTCTTTCAAGCATATCTAATCATTTGTAGAAGAATGCCCAACTCCCCAAGGGTCCAGCTCTTCTGCCAGGTCTCTATGCAAGTGACAAAAGTGAAATGACACATGGCAGCCATGGTTTCTGCTGCTAAGGAGCTGTGGGGTGCTGACTTGTGTGGGGGTATTGATGCCATTATTTTTTTATACTCTGACAACAACATTTTAGTGTAGGAGAACATGGTTTTCCCTTAACACAGAGAGCCTGAGGGGTCCTAGGCTCACGTGGGGATTATGGATTCAACAATAAGTCAATAAATGTTTCCTGTAGGAGAGAGATAAAATCCCCCCAAAAGTAGATATTTGTTTCATTTTTTGGTTTCCTTTTAAAAACAATACCAACCCACAGCAAGGTGTTCGTGCATCTCGACTTGTGACTAATGGCTCTGTGGAAACACAAAGGATGCAACACAACTTGCAATCACTGAGGCATATCCCGCAGGTGGGATTCTGGATAACACGGTGAATTAGCAACACTTTAGCTATAGATAGTAACCAAGGAAACCAGCCAGGGAACAAAATGAATCTTAGATTTCATGTTCATTTTTGGGGGGAATTTCAGAAATCTCCAAATAATAAGGGAAGTCATGATGGTCAAAAAAAAAGATGTCAATTGATTTATTTTTCCAGAATAAGTACAAATTCTAGTTGAAATCCTATACTCATGCTGCTGTCCCTTTTGGTACCACATATTTTAATTTACTTTCAATTCTTGATCAAATTTGATGCAAGACCTATTGGGCTTCCCTAAGTATTTTTATCCCTTGGTTTTTCAGAGATTCTTTATGTGGTAGAGAGCAGAGTCCCTGGGTATTAATGATCCACAACCATCATGGCCCCATTTAGTAATGGGCACACTTGACATTACTAGCCCACATGTCTACAATTAAAGGAAGTCATTTACTCTACAGACATGTACTGAACAATGGTCTTTGTTGGTCAGCATAGTAACATTTAAATGGACTTTCGCTTCCATGTGTTCAACTACATAAAATGACATATATTTTTTATGGTATGGATAAGTTTCACCCGAAATGATTAGATCATCAGGGGCAGATTTGAAGTCCAGAAAGCAGGTGGTGGTAAGGTAGGGCTAAGGTAGGCCTGAGCTCTTGCTCCAGTGACATGGGACCACGGCAGTACGGACGTGATGGGATCAGTGTTGGCACACTGTGAATGATCAAAATGGATTGCCGATGGAATTGAGTAGTGGTCTCACAATCACTGCATCTCAGTGGCTACTTACTTAATCATAGGAGAAGATGGCATGCTTTCCTGATAAATGTCCAGGTCCATAATGCCAAGACTGCTAGTGGCACTACTGTTGCCATTGCTGACAAAGCAAAAGTTTACATATTAATGCCAGTCTCCAGCACCTGGCCACACTGCTGACACCGACATTCCATCGTTCTCGGAGGTGGTTTCTCTGGTTCCCGCAAGAATATGGCTTTTTGTCTAGGACTCCTGGGATATTTATTTCTGACTGAATTAAGGGGAATCCCAATAAAAGACATTTTTTGGCTCAAGCAGGTCCTCATCACCATCACCACCACCACCATTACTGTCATCATCGTCATCATGTTCTGGTTTCTGCAATGATATCACACCTGGTGGGTCACATCTAGTGTCCTTCACTCTATCAACTGGAGAATCCTTGGGTTTACCCATAGAGACAAAGTTATCTAAGAATGTGGGCCAAGGGACACACTGGGATGCTTCTCTGCCTGATTCATGGCTTTTGACACAAATCAGGGGATGAACAACATCCTCCCTTTACCATTCAGGAGATATTTTCCGAGGAACAGTCCGTGGGCTATCCACCTGACTCAATGTTTTCCTACAGCATACAGAGTTCACACGCACACTGAAGTGCAATGCCAACACTTTATAGCTCCTGTATCTTAAAATCTTTGAGACGAGCCACAGCTCATGCCTCAGTGCCATGGAGGGGAAGGGATGGAGTGCTGCATCTTTCCTAGATCACACAATCACCATATGGTCCAGCTACCAACCTGGATCTTAGATGATAATATCAAGACAATTTTGGTGCTCTGCCTGTACTTGCCAAAGGGAAGGCATTCAATTTCATGAAACCCACTGAGTTTTCTCATATTAGATGCCTCTGCCCAGTGAGGTCTTGGAAGGGTGAGCACTATTGTGTTGCGTGACGGGACCATCTCTTCCTGGAGGACAGTGACTAACCAACAGGACATTCCTGTTTTGATTTCATGTGGTGGGACTGAATAAATTCACTGCTTGGAATCTGGTGACTCAGACATTGCACTGGAGATAATTAACTCTATAAACTTCTGCTGAATCCAGAGAGTAAATTCTATTTGCTTTTTGTCTCTATATTATAACATTTGGCAACAGTTTTTTTTTTTTTTTTAAATTTTAGACAAATTGTTTGGCATTGGGAAATTTTCCTAAATCTAAATAGGCTGAACTGCCAGAAATAATACTTTCAAGGAACCATCATACCAAGCTGCATCTGAAACCTATTTTCCAATAGACCTTTCTGGAAAGCCTGCAGACTTGGCCCAGTGTCAAATAAGACTTTGGGCAGAAAAGTGGGGATTCTTTGTGTTTCAACCTCACAGCGGGTATAGTGTTCAGTTTGTGCCTCCCGATTGGCTTGGACCTCCTTTCGCTAGTTTCCAGAGTGGTAATACAGAGGGCAGGACAGAGAAAGGGGAGGAACAGTCAGGCCCAACAACAGGCAGCGTGAGAAACACTTGCCCCAGCTAAAGCCAGCCTGCATTGCCTCTGAAATACAATTGAGCCAGAGAGAAAGACCAAACACACCAGGTGTAATAGCACTGCTTATTTAAAAATTCGTGGTTGTCATTGTGGAAGGCACTCACTGGGACTCGCAGAGAAGGGAGCTCAGGTGGGTCTTAACCTTGGCCAGGTGATGGAAGCCATACCTGGTGTTAAGACAGCGCTCAGCACGACTGTGGCAGGCAGGCGCCTTGACCTAGTGTGCACATTGCTTTTTGCTCGCCCTTGTACTGCAAGTGTGTTTTTTAAGAATCTGCCTCGAGACCTACTTCCCTGGGAAGTCAAGTGAAAAGCAGGTACCTCATGGATCTGTCACTGAGCTGCAGAAAGCTGCTGGTGTCGTCTGGGTTGTCCTCCTCGTTGGCGAGTTGGGACCAGCTGTCTGTGCTCTCCCCGCTGCTGCCCGGGGGGTTGGGGGACTCATCAGGGTCTCTGCCTTCTGTGGAGACTTCAGCCTCTGGGGTATCTCTGGTACAAAGGCTGTCACTGCAGGCAGCAAGATATTGTTACCAAGAGTGCAGGCGGGAGACTGACCCTTTCCCGGGGAACTCCTGGCACCGTTGGGCTGGCAACCTGGCCAGAGCAAGCATGATTTCCTTGGACACAGGTGAGGGGGGGGGGGTCTTTCTTTTGGGTTGACCCTTCTTCCTGTACCCAGGCCCCACATGACTTTTCAGGATCATTCCCCACCAGCTCCCCATCTCTTCATTTCATCTCTTTGCACCCCCTCTCTCCATTCATATCCAAGACACGCACACTGACCAGCACACAGAATTATTGAAGGGCAGCGATGTTTAAAATAAAGAAATCCAGAATATGCTCCTAGAGACCTGATTCAGTGGTTTTGTGGAGGCCCACAAAACTGCATTTAATAAGCACATCAGGTGATTCTTACATAAGGAGCCCATGCTGGAGTTACCCCCATCCCCCAACCCCCGCCCTCATTGGTAATTTACCAAGTCATTCTACCTATAAACACCTCTCAACACTTTCTAGTTGAGGTCACCTTTGCAAATCATTCCCTTTCCTGAAAGCTCTGATTGATATCAGCACAGCTTTTCTGGACTGGTGCTTTTTCAGATCACATATCTTTCAGAGCATTTAATCCTTGATCTGACAGGCCTTTCTCCTTGAATCCATTCTTCCTTGCTCTCCCATGAATATCTGCCTCTCTGGACAGTCCTTTTCTGGAAACTGGTTCTCGGTTTCCTTTAAGTGTGACAATAGCCAGCTCCGGTCAGTTCACTGCCCTTCCCTGCAGTCTGTCCCTGAGTATCTCATTGATTCTCCTATTATGAAAACAGCTTCCAAGTCCGAATGCCAGCCGGGTCCCTCTTCCTATTTCTGGGGTTCTATTTTCTTTGCATTGATTTTCTGAACATATTCAATCTGTCTCATCAACATCTCAAAATCAGCATTTTACAATGAATTCTAACTGCCCTCCCATCCTCTCCCTGTTTCTTATTCCAGTTGGTTTTTCTAAGTGAGCCCAAAACCTTGGAGTGTTCTGCTTTCTTCTTCTTGACATTTGCATTCAGTCAAGATCGAGCATTTTCAGTTCCATCACATTTTGCATACTTATTTCCATTTTTTCTTTCTTTCTTTATATCATTTATTTATGCAAGAACCGGGGTACAGGCCAGATGTGCGGGAGGGTGAGAGGATCCATCAGAGACACAGCGGGAAACAGAACAGGCAGACTGATGAAATACACTCCTGAGGGGAGCAGCGGGCGAGACAGGAGAGGTCTGCTGTGCCATGTGGGTTTCTCCCTGGCCTGCTGGGATTGAACTGGCACTGCAGAGACTGTGGACAGCTTCACAGCACTGCACCCAACCGCCTGAGTCATCAGGGGAGGCCCTCCATTTTTTCTTTTAATTATTATATTATTTTATATATTTTTTACATCATTTTTCAGAATGTCTCTTATTTCCATTTCTGTGCTTTTGAAATTATCTTAATTTCCAACCTTCCAAATCTGTAGCGAAGAACGCAGAAGCCCAGTCAAATCCAACAACGTATGAAAGATAACAAGAGTTGGTACCACACATGAGACCTTGAGATTTGAGACATGTGGATATTGCTCTGTGCCCCTTGACCTGGACTATATTATGCTGAGCTCCTAATAGTCAAGCCTCATCACTTCTTCTCTCTCAGAACTTCACATTGTTTGAGATTAAGGTTTCCCACACACATCTTTGGCCAGTCAGTCAAGAACCTTCAAGAATTCCCTAAGGTGAAGCCTGTCCTCTATAGTCTTTCTAGTTTTACTGCCTCTACCCTCCTCACTAGACAACAAAAAAAATTATTTGATGTTCTGCAAACATTTCAGGGCATTCCTAACTCTTGGCTTTGGTCTCACTGCTTCCTTTGAACAAATGCTGCAGAACAGGACACAGTTTTTACAGTCTAATTACCACAGATTCCAGTTCTACCACCGGCCACCTATTCAACTTGGACTAGTTAATAAAGTTTTCTAAGAAAACAAAACCACTTTACAAAGACTTTTGGAAGAAATTAATTAGAAAATAAAACCATTTATTGTATGCATGTTGCATAATCCTGGTTCCTACATTCTACATTATTAAATTATATAATTGTACTAATATCCATTAGTTTAATCACACCCTTTCCTGAACTTTGCTCCTTATAAGCCATCAAATCTCAGCCAAGATGCTCACACCTGAATTTCCAAGGCTAGGGTCATTTCTTCTTCACCAATTGTCAAAGCAATTTACCTATTTTTTTTGTTTTCTTTTTCCCACTGCTTTCCAGTTTTTTACTCTAGTGCATATAGTTACCTGAATATATCATACATTATTAGAATTGTTATTATTAATAATTGTTATGTTTCTATAACATCAAATATTCTTTAGATGAATATGTTCTTGTCGAAGTGTCCAATGTCACAATTAGGCCCATTCAACTATTAATTTAACTATCTCCACATCTTAAGTCCCAAATGGGAAAATCTGAGGTGTCACCTACTAGAAAATTAGCCATGTCCTGCTCACCATGGTATTGATGTGTGGAAGTTTGTAGCATACTTTGCTGCTAACCCTAAAGCTAATATGTTTGAATTTCCATTAGTTTGCATAGCACAGTAACACACACACACGCACACACACACATGCACACACTGAATATGAAAGCTCTGGATTAGGGCTCAGGTCATTTATGTACTCAGAGTTGCTCACTTTGCTTAAAATTATAAGCAAATTCAAAAACCTTCCATGGGGAACAGGGAAGAATATGCTAGGGAACATGCTAGAATATTAAAAAATAGCTCTGTATCTCTCTTGATGTCTCTGTATCTTTAGAGTTAGTACAAATTGTTCTTTAATCCTGGTGACCATGCTCTTTGCTCAGAATATCTCCAGTGTAGAGAAACGTAAACATATCCATGGAGTCTTTTCTCCTGATACTACCTACATCAAAAAACAATAGCATAAAAGAGGACAACAATAATGATGGAAAAAATGCAAGATTTGACAAACAAAAAAGCACATGGTCCCCAATTTGGGATGCTTCTAATCAATGTATAATGGTTTGACTCATGGCTTTTCAACCTTACTGAGGAGTGAAAGCAATACCATTCAGTAGGAACAAGAATTTTGAATTAATAATTTGAATTCATACTTTGAATTATGAATTTTGTTCCTTTTCTGGGCTGATGATATGCAGCAGGATTCTCTTTTTCCCTCTCCACTCTCTGAAACAGGGCAGCTAAGTTAAGAATGCATGGCTGCCCCCCAACAGGGTGCTATTTTCCAGGAAACCTACTCTGGATAATTTAAACTGCTCACACTTGAGGGATATTTCTGCATGGATGTGGTGACCTAAAATACAACAGGTGTTTTTATTGGGGGCTGACGTGCATCGTGAACTCTGAAGTTGCTACTTTTTTATCAAGTTAAAAAGTTTTTTATTTTGGTATATTTCTTTTTTATGAAGCTTTTAGTAAGAGTTATGAAAATGTTCCTCAGATTGTAGCCTAAAAATATCTTCAGGAAATGACATCCCCACCCCCAAGCAAAGCACCTGTGTAACCCCCCTCTCTCTTGGGTACCAGTGGGTGGAAACTCTTTTGCAGGGAATTAAGCTCTATATTTAGCTACTTTGACACATTAAGTCTCATGATAACAACTCTTTGCCAAGAAAAAAAAAATGAAGTAAATATGACTAATTTACACCCTTTGCAATCTTGGGAATACTCCTGTTTTTACACAATGCTCATGATGTTCTGTAAGGTTTCTTTGGGAGAAAAAAATCTCCTGGAATTAAGGCATGCACATACTCTAACCTCAGTAACAACCACCCCCACAAAGCATATACTGATCAAATTCTTACAATGGTCAGAGGCTTGACTATGAGACCATTGGATCATTTTTAAATGGAGTTTAGAGTGAAATATCCTCTATTGATGCAGTAATATTATTCTTCCCATCAATTATATGAGTAAACTGAGAGATTATGGAACTTGATCAAAGTCATAGGATTATCTGGTTACTTAGTGGGGTTTATTTTCTATCACAATCTTCGACATACTCCACAAAGGAAACCATATTCCCTACCCAGTCCTTATACTTTGGAGACAGATAAGGTCTTGAATGTCTTTCATTATGGGGGAAGCCAAATCAGAAATCTGTATCATCAGTTGAAGAACAGGTGCTCAGGTCATTATATAGAACATAAGCCTAAACCATCTGGAAGCTTTTTGCATGCATATTTCCCATGTTTTTTGAAAGTCCCCAAGGTATAATCTCTTTTAAATATAATATTAGTGACAATTACACTCAAAATTGTTTAATGAACTTTATTTAACTTCATTGCCAGTTGCTATTTGATGTGAACCTACGACTGGATTTTGTTGAATTAGTAGTTCATGAAAGCTCCAGACTATAGAACTTTCTTTGACTAAATTCACAGGTAGTTTATGATCTCAGAGCTCAAGGAAAGTCAAAGGCAGACACCTGAAATCTAAAATAAGGTTTTTCCATTTTCCCTTATCTCACATTAAGGTTTAAAGAATTACACATTGGTCATTTCATTTCCTCAGCTCTTTGATCACATTTAAGTATGTGCAATTCTCTAGGCTCCCTAGAGATGGTGAATACTAAGGGGAGGTATGGTAAGACTTAAATAAACATTGTCTACAGCTAGAGAAGTATTGCATCTAAGACCTTTTCTTGGGTAGCTTGCCTCTGCTTTATTTGGTTTAATTTTGTGTTCTTTTGCTTGTGTGTTTTCATGCTTTCTTTGCCTCTTCTTCCTTTGGGCATTCTTCCAGGGTTTCATCCAAATAGAAAATTACACTCTAGGCACTAAATAGTTAAGAAAAAAGTAGTCAAGAGCCTCTGGACCACCCCCTGCTCATGTGCTATAAGCCTTACAACAAAGTGCAGGGGCATCCATACCTCTCTTTTGTTCCCCTGGGGGATGTGGGGAGGTGTGGGGGACCTTAGAGAGCAATGCCATTTGAGCAACGCTGTATTCAACATGTTTATTGTAACTAAACATTTAAAAGTCACAGGCTCTTTGTGCAACAGGTGTATGTAATCTTTGAAAAGATTAAACCAGTTATTTCTCTGGCTTATGTTTTTCCTAAAACAGAAACTTAGGTTTTTGTTTGTTTGTTTGTTTTCTTTTGTCTAATTTCACTCTAAACTCCATTTAAAAATGATCCAATGGTCTCATATTCAAGATTCTAATGAAATTTCTGCAGAAAATGGGAGTTGTAAAAAATTGACACTGCTTTAAGCAACCTGAGAGGAAAAACTAGCAGCTTCAAGTTCAAGAAGCATTGTCACCCACATCATAGAAGAACTATTGAAAAAGCAAACCTTCAGTTTTGTTTGCCCTTATGCTGCCACGATTACACTAGGCATCTGAAGGGCCAGCACTGTGGAACACAGAGTCCTTGCAAAGCTACTTAAAATATGACAGAAAAGGAAAACTTGAAAGGAGAAACCCAAAGAACACCACATCAAAATACCAGGTGCCAGTTTTAAAATTTATTTAAATTTAGTCTTCTTCAAACGAATAAGTTGATATAATTTCCTTACTGGCTTGGAAACGTGCCATGACTTTTACAAGTTGGTATGCTGTGGAAGATTCTTTCTAATGGGAAGAACGATACCTTATTTCCTCTGTTATATATGTGAATTTAATTTGCTTAAGAAATTAAAAAAATGCTTCCAACTTCCTATTATAAGTGCATATGAATAGAGAGGTTATTTGTTGTCTCAGAATTCAGTTCTTGCCTCAGTAAAGTCCCTATGATTTAGCATAAATCCTAACTAAGAGCCGGCTCCCCAGGGAGCCTGAAATCACTCACCTGTGTTTCTGGCAGGCACTCAAGGCCCTGTCTCCACCTCTTGCCACTGCTGCCCCTTGTTCTTCTTTCAGAGGCTCTTCTGCTTTCTCCAGGGGGCTGCCTTGGGAAAGGAAGCCTTCAGGGTCTCCAGCACACTCTTCTCTCTGATCTGCTTCGATCTGAATTAAAGGCACTTCCCTTGGGCAAAGTGATCTCCTGGTGTGGCTTACCTCGAGGCCCGAGGAAATTTCCTTTTTAGAATCTAAACTGTGGCGAGTGGTAAGAGGAGCAGGTTTGCTTGGAGACGACGCGGGGGGCTGGGGGCTTTCGGCCACCGAGTCCCTCCTCGGGTGATCCACCGACTCAGGCCCGCGCCGCCCGCGCCCGCCCTGCGCTCTGCCCGGAGCGCCCGGCCCCGCCGACTTGGCCGCGCGCAGGGCAGAGCCGGACCCCGCGGACCCCGCGTCGTCCACGATGATCTTGTTCTTGCGCATGAGGGCCTCGATGGAGTTTGCCCACGTCTCGTGAATCAGCCTGCTGGTGATCTGGTCCGTGCCGCTTCTCCGGTACAAGCAAGAGTCCGATTTGCAGAGCCCAGACTGCCCAGCGCCACTGCCCAGCTGCACGCTTAGGAACTCCTGCGGGCTGTTGGCGGCAAAGCCGTCTAAGGAGCTGGCTTTGATGGGCGCATTCACGGTCAGCCTGGCGCCGGGGGATCTGCTGTCTGGCATGGAGGACTGTCTGTGGCACAAGGGCGAGCGCAGAGAGGGCGAGAGAAAGCCCGCCGCCCAGTCCTGGCTGCCCCGTCGGGAGGCGGGCCCGTCCCGGCCCTCCCTCTCCATGTCCCTCAGCATGTACCTGTAGAACTCCTCGGTGATGCTCTCCGTGCTCGACTGCTTCGAGGGACAGGTGGGCCTCACGCTCAGGTGCTCGCCTTTGCGGCAGGCCTGCTGCATGGCCGAGCTGAGGATGCTGCTGGCGTTCTTGCCTGCGTAGTAGTCCAGCAGCAGCTCGAAGCCCCGCCCTTCACTCTCCATCTGGCTCACCATGAACCTGGAAAACTCCTCCGTGATGCTCTCGCAGCTCGACTGCTTGGAGACGGAGCTGGCCCTGCTCCCCGGCTGGCTCAGCGCCCGCGCCAGCCCCAGGCTGCCGACCAAGGCCCTGGCCTGGGGGTCCTCCTCGGGGATGCTCTCGCAGCTGGAGGCCTTCAGCCGGCTCCAGCGCTCCCGCTCAGCAGGCGGCTGCGGGGGCAGCCCTGGGCCTGCCAGACCCCGTCCACCATGGAGCACTCGCTCAGGTTCATGATCTTGGCGGCCACCTCGTTGGCAAAGGCGTTGACGGCCTCGGGGACATCCTCGAGGTTCACGGACTCGTCCACCACTCTGTTCATCAGCTTCTCTTTCAGCTCCGGGTGCTCGTCGGTTTTCCGCTTGATCTCGCTGAGCCGGGGGGGCTTGTGCTTCCTCAGCGCGCCGCCCGCCTGGCTTTCCTTTTTCCTCTTCAGGGGTCGGCAGGGGACGCTCGGGGTCGCCAGAAACTCACTCCCTCTTCTCCAAGCACAAAACCAGGGTTGTTTTCCATTGGAGTTGTCAAGGCAAATCGCTGCGATTTCAGTTGCCATGGAGACGATGGTCTCGGCTAACTCTTCGGCGAAGTCTGCAATGCAGTAGAGGTCTGCGGGGCTGGCCTGCGGCAGGGCCAGCGCGGGCAGCAGCGCGGCCGTCCCCAGCAAAGACAGGCTGCCCGGACCCTCGTTTACAGGCGAGGCGCAAGGGGGCTGGTCGGGGGCGTTTGGCCAGAGGCTGCCCTGCTGCGCACCCTGTGAGCCCGCGCTGCACTTGAGGGCTGAGGGTGTCCTCTCTCCCCCAGGAGAGCCTCTGCACTCGCTCCCTGGTTGACTGAGCCTGCGATGGGCTCTGGTGTCCTCTCTCCCTATAGCTTTCAGGTCTGCTTCTGTGGGGGGTGTCTCCACAGGTGGTGAATCAGGCCCGCTGGGACCACATGGCAACTCGGCTGGCAACTTGGGGTTCCTGCAGAGACCTGGCTTCTCTGGGCCTTTGGCATCTTGCTTTGGGTGCTGGTCATGTGCAGGGTCGTTGATAGCAAGGCTCGGGCGGCGGGAGCTGCTCAGTGGCTGGCCGCTGGAGTGTTCAGGGGCTTTCATCCACACTTGCCTGGCAGCCGGAGCGGGTGGCTGGGCCTCTCGTTCTGTTCCCCTCCACCCGATGGACTCCTTCGAAAGGGCGGTGGCACATTCGCCAAGCTGGACTATATGGTGCATCTTCTTGAAAGTGGAACATATCACATTGAAGAGCAGTTGGTGCGTCGTTTCCATTAAGATGTCTAATGTTTCCGAGGAAGGCCTGCCATTTGCGGGGCCCATTATTTTATTTTTCTGGTGAACTTCATCAATGGAATGCTTTAGGATAATACTGGACAGGGTCTGTGCCAGCTCATTCCCAAGGACATTTTCTGAGCACAAGGGCTGAGGCTTGGAAGCGGTTTCTAGGATTCTCCCGGTCATGGACTCCAGGAGGTCACCAATGCTGCTGTAGGTATTAGGCTTGGTTAACACCAGAGCAGTCTCCCTGAGCAAGGCCTCCGCCATGGCTTCCCTCCCCAGATCCATGCTCCTCCCAGTGCTGGAACCACAGCCTGCAGAGAAGATTGCAGAAGTCTCGGCTGTAGGTGAGAGGTTGTTTGAAGCTGCAGGGCACTTCACCTCTTCTGTGTCACCCAGGCCACAGACGGCCACTGCGCTTGCCACTTGAGTCATGCCACACAAAGCAGATGGAAATGAGTATTCGCTGATGGAAGGTTCCTGGAGTCCTTGCAATGTTTGCATTTGCAGAGGCTCATTGCCTCCCAGAGGATGGCTTGCCACCAGGGATTCTTGCTCCATTTTGAGTCTTTCTGTGGCCTGTGGACAGGAAATGGTCCCAATCACAGTGGCTGCACAAGCCAATGCAATTTCTAAAGTGCTCTGAGGGTGTCTGCTGGAGTTCTCTGCAGGGAAGTCATCTGAGGTTTCTGCAGAGACTTCTGTCTCCAGCCACGAGGAGAGGCCTGACTCAGGGGCAGCCCCACTGCCATCTGGACTCTGGATGATGACAATTTTGGGAAGCTCATTCCAGGAGCACGGGACCACTATGTCCTTTGTGGAACAACTGTTGGGTGACAGAGCACTTGCCACGGAACCACTGACTGTAGATTCCCGGGGTAGTGTTGGTTGAGATAATCTAATAAATGCATCTTGCAGCACGGATTCTGCTAAATTGGTAGCATATTCACCGGTTGTAGCTTCTCCAGCGGGAGGAACAGAGTTCATTCTGTACTCATGGTCACCTGGATTTAAGTCGCTTCCATGTTCAGAGGCAAACCCACAGGGAGAGGGTCCATCTTGCTTCGCCATCTTGGAGAAATCAGCGTCACCTGCGGTATAGAGAGCTTGTGATTTTTTCATTTGACTTTTAAAAGCTTCTGAATAATAATAACTTGAGACTGGTCTCTCATAATCCACAGCTTTGCCTTTCCTCTCTGGTGGGTTGGCTAAGAGATCTAGATTCTGCAAGGCTGTGTCATCTGCTACTTTTTCCAGAGAGCCTTCTATTTTCAACAATGGTGTAAGATATTTGTTAATGTATTTGTCTTCCAAAGTGTAAAGTGACTTTTCCTTGTAATTCCATTCCTGTGGGATAGATTCCTTTGGCTTACTTTCCAAAACACTGGCAGAGACATCTATATTTTCATAACCTAGTGACAAGAAAATGAAGGCCATGATTACTTTTGGGAGATTAGGTTCTTGTGAGTCTAAAATAATCATTTCTAAAAATGTCTTTTTTTTTAACATTGGGTATTTTTTCCCCAAATAACATTTTGTGCATTTGTTCAAGAAAAATAAACCTGAAAAGGATTTTGAATTTCATCTTGGGATGACACTGGACAAAATGGCTTTCAGTAGGGGGCCAATGTAAGCCCTATAGTGGGAGAAGGCATGGGAGATGGGGAATGGCCATCATCCTGCAGGGGAGAGGAACCCCAACTTTAGAAGTACCCAGTGCATACAGAGGAAAGAGGCTTAGAGCAAACTTGATAGTGAATTTTTTTTTTGCAAAGATTTACCCAGAAGTTTGCCCAGGACATGCCCAGCAACAAGGCCCAGTAACATCTGGAATATTCCTTTCTCTGCAGCCAAGAGTGGGGAAGAAGAAGCCATTAAACCTCAGAACAGAGATCTCTATTCATGAGTCAGTCCAAAAAGCAAATAAAGAGTAATCGGCAGATTTTGGGTTATTTTCCTTCTGTCCTCACAATAATAATACCATAAATATGTAGTTAACTGCAATAAACACATAGTTAAATGTAATAAACGTAATAGTGTTATAGCATTACCATACTCCAAACTATAGGTCAGGAAACGGGGACTCAGAAAAATTAGACCAGTAGTTCTGGGGTTCATGGCAATGCCGAGGCTGTGCTGGGATTCAGGCCAGACTAATTTGGCTTCCACTCGTCGGTGGCTTTTATGAAAGTCTTAGAGAAACTTATTTTGCTTCCAATGATAGGATCCATCTCTGCACAGGCAGGAGCATTTCCCCTTGAAACACACACATTTGCATCAGCACCCCTAAGGCATCTTTATGGGGTCTGGAGCCACCTAAGCACTGAATCGGCTCGAGCATTAGTCATCCTCTTCACCGTGTCTGTGTCTTCTTCCCTCCCTAAACTCAGTAAGTGAAAATGGTGATGATGTGTCAGCCAAACTCATGTGCCCTGAAACGCTTCTGAAATTTCTGCCAGACATTTTATGGTGTGACTCACGTCAGGATGTACATTGGATTTATTGGCAAGTTCTCACCATCCCTGGATTCTTCCACCTCGCTCTCCTCCTCCAGGTGCTCCGAGGCGGTGAGAAAATCTTCCTCGATGGAAGATAAGGAACAGTTTGTGTCATCCTCCACTTTCAAAATGTTTGTTTCCAGGTGGAGCTGCCGCTCCTGCACCAGCTCTAGACCAATCAAGAATTTGTTGATTTCAAAGATGATGCAGTTGGTGCTGTTGGGTCTGTTCCCTCTGGCACACTGGACCAGGCAGATATCTGGCAGCCAAGGACACTGGAAGGGGAGAAAGAGGGCGTTTATTAAAAGAGAAAATGAAAAACTACTGCCTCTGACCTTTATTCTTCCACCAATCTGTCCTGTTGGAAGCAGTGGGAACTGTTTGACATATCTTCTGGGCTTTTATTGATGAACTGCTTGGAAAAAAAAAAAAAATCAGGGGATGTGTGTTTGGGAACACAAGGTACCCAGGAGAAAGTTCAGCTTAGGGGAAAATAAACCATTGTATCATATGTTTTTGTTCTCTTCTGTGGAAACAACAATTGCATGGGGCAAAATGAAGCAGCAGAGAAGACTTTCTTCAAAGCTCTTAAAATAGGGAGAGAGGCCAGAACGGAGTTGGATCACAACTTCACTGAATCAAAAGGCAATGGAGACTTTAAGAGTGGTAGGAGGACTGTGGGCCATCTGTGTTTGCTAATTGGCTTTACGAAAAGGACAGCTAGACTTTCTGGTACCTCTATAGCAGGAGGTAGCTTTGCAAATTGGGACAAGGCACCTGCAGAAGTTCCCATCCTGCCATGGAGCTCAGACACTATCTTCTTGATGATTGTATTTCAAAGAGAGGGCTCCTATACCCTTTTACCATTATACCTCCCATTAGTTTTATGAGAAATAATTTAAATATATCACTATGTAAGTTAAGAAGTAAGCACGATGACTTGATTTATATATAGTGATACAATTAACATGATACCCATCATCTCAGATAGATACAATAGAAAGAAAGTGAAAAAAGAGAAAAAAATTCTCCTGTGATGAGAACTTCAAATCTCACTTCACAAATTTCAGCCATCCTGCAGCAGCATTAACTAGAGCCATCAGTTACTCACAACATCCCTCATACTCATTTATCTTGTAACTGAAGTTTGTGACTTTTGACCATCTTCCTTCAATTCTTCCTTATTTCAGCCCCACACCCTACCTCCGACCCTGGTAACCACAAACCTGATCTGTTTTCTGTGATGGTTATTTTTTTTTTGATTCCACATAAGCAAGATCATATAGTATTTGTCTTTCTCTTCCTGTTGCAAATGATAGGATTTTATTTCTTTATGATTGAATGATATCCCATTATAAATTTTATATATTTCATTATTTTTCCTTTATATAGTTGGCATTCCATGAATATATTATATGTTTTATTACATATAGTGGGACATATTATATCTGTTATATATACTATGTTATTAGCTAATGGGGTTATATAATAATACACTTTCTATATAATAAAATATTTCACTTGAACAATAATATGTCACACTTTTTTAAATCTATTCATCCCTGGACATCATCATATGGACAGTTAGACTGTCCTTTTCTGGCTCATGAAACTGGTGAGAAACTTTTAAAAAGATTTAAATCTCACAGGGCAGAGAATTCAGTGATAAGTTTTCTAAAGCAAGTGTTCTAAGCGAAGGGTGGTCAGGCAGGACTTAGAGGCATAAAGAAGATTGTCCAAAGTTTCATCAAGGTACACAGAGAATCAAAGCCACCTTGAGACCCCTCTTGTTTCAGTTGAGTCCCAGTTTCTCATACCAGTATCTCTTTCTGCTTTGGTGACATTCAAACTCTGTCAGCATTTCAGATGTGTTGCGAGTGTTCTATCAGCTACAGTAAGCTTGTGTTGTGCATCGGAACAAGCAGTCAAAATGAGATTTAAAGAAATCCCCTTCTAGAAGAGAACTCCAAAGTGCATTACTTTTCATCTAATCTCTAAAAGGCTGGTGTATAGGGGGGTGAGTGGTAAGGAGAACAATCCTTGGATGGTGCCTCGTTTGACCTATTCATTCTGATCATTTCTAAGGTTATCAGTTCCCAGTTCTCCAACATCCATTTTACTCTCCAGGCTGTTGTTGGTTAGAACAGCATGAACATGTTCCAGTCGCTCATGCTGATCCCTGGGGAATGACCAGTATGTCTTTTCCATTAGGGTGTTTGTTTATGTAAGAGGAACAATGTGCTGATTTTTAATTTTAAGAGAAAATTTTAAGGGAGAATTTTAAGAGAAATTTTTAAGAAAAATTATTTGACTGGAAAAAAGAGTTAATGGGCAGAGGGAAGATAAAAAATAAATCTCCATGTGAAACTTGAAATACTTTGTCTAAATGTCTTCTTATTCAAAAGGATTAGTGAAGTCATGATTATCTGTGGTTGGAATTAATTGGGTCTAATACTAACTGACTTGTCATTTTAGAATCTTTGAGTCTGAGTGTCTGTGTGTGAGTAGTGTGTAACTGCACAGACACAGGAATACAAGCACACAGAAGTTCATTTTGTATTCTGAAAGTAGTGTGTCTTTTTCTTACATAAATGTCATTTCTGAATCTCTTTCATTGAATATTCTAATGAGAGTAATTCAGACAGATGAATAATATAAAATGACAAATCAAATCATTCTCCAGTGCTCTCAGAAACAGCATTCCTCTATTCTTACATGCTTAAGACTCTTTTTCAAGGAAAGAGCTCCGTGGTCTTGCTGTGTGTTGTAAACCAGCAGCCTCAGCATCTCCTGGGAGCTCCTTAGAAATGCACATTCTCAGGTCCCACCCCCGCATTGACTAAACCAGAAGCTGCATTTTCAAGCAAACTTTTGGGGATTTGTATATGCATTGATATTTGAGAAACACTAGTCTATAGCCTGTATAAATTCACAAAGGATCTGTGATCCTCCAAATGGTAAGGAGTCACTGCTATAAAATAATAGCAGCTGACTTGATTCATTTTCTCTTTACTGAATTCATACATAATATACTGCCTTGAAATTTGTTAGATGCATGGCCTCCCTGGTGGTGCAAAGGGTTAAGACACAGCACTATGAAGCTGTCCACAGCTACTGCAGCACAAGCTTGATCCCCAGCCAAGGAGGTAACTCACATGGCACAACAGACCTCTCCTGTCTCACCTGCTGCTCCTTGCAGCAGTATATTTCAGTGGATCTGCCTTTTTAGCTTCCCACTCTGTCTCTGGTGGAATCTCTCAAGCCCCACACCTCTGGCCTGCACCCCAGCTCTTGTATAAATAAATAAATCTTTTTTAAAAAAAGAAATTTGCTAGATGCTTTCTGAGGGCCTATTATATGCAAAGCATGGTGGGTATTCCTGTCAAAACATGAATCAGATAATTTCCCTAGGGTTAGTAGAGTATAGCATAATATACTATCAGTGAAATCAAACATCAATAAATATAAATACATGATTGAACCACATGAAGTTGCCATATTTACAGGTCAACGGGCTTGAATATTGGCCAGTTCATACGATTCAGATTAAATACACATGACATAAACAACATATATTGTGGTAGGAGTCAAAAGGGATATTGACAAATCAACATGAATAGTTAAGTAGTATTTCAAGACAGACTTAGAGGAGAGCTATTATTAAATGTGCAAATTTACATAGCTATGGTATGTGTAGAAAGAAAATAGATTTTTCTTAACAATCTTCTTGAAAGTAAATAAGAATCCTGCAAGTTCCTAGATAAAATAAGCCCTAAAAATGTAGCCTGCAAAATAATGGCAGATATTATTTTTTTAATGGAAATCTTTTTATGGAAATCTGTTAAGTGTTTTGAATATTTATTAATGCCAATGCAAACACTATTTCTGCGAGGTCTGTAGTGCTGTTACTTTGTGACAGGTGAAAAGTCAGAGGCACAAAAAGACTAATTGGTCCTTTCAAGTCACATAATACGTTTATCTCATAGAAAGCACAGTCACAGATAAAGCTTACTCTTGTACGGAATAAGCATCTCAGAAAAAAAAATGTTTTTCTGTAGAAAAATAACTGATTTTATTTGTATTTCTCACTTGGCATTTAACTTGACTAATGGTTTTTGTAGTTATTATATTTTTGTTAAGGTTTTAAGTTATTCTGAGATTTCTAAATTTTATTCTAGACTAAGAATGGTTTGACAAGTCAAATCATTATCTTGGTACTGCTATCCTATATTTATTAGGTTGGCTGGCTTAAATAAATAACACCCAGAAAGAAGAAATTGTAGATTCTAGAAACACATGATATGAGTTTAAAAACTGGTATTATTCCTGAAACAGAGGACACTTCTGTTTTTTATTATCTAGAAATCTAAAATGTTTAAATCATCTTTTTTATTCTTCAATAGTTCAAGCTCTCCAAACACTCACAAGCCCATCCACCATTTCTTTCTCTGCTCCAGATGCTTCATAAAAATCAACACACAGCCCATCTCAACTTGCTAATCAAGACTAGAACAACACACGAGAAAAATGAATGCTCATCATTTTAATGTGTAGCTGTGTGTGTATCATTATCATTATATCTTATTTGAGAAAATTAATCTTCTATATAGTGACCTTTAGAAATCTTTTATATATCTTTCTATAAATTGATTAAACAATTTACCATTTTTATTTTTCTTTAAAAATTATTGTGTATCTAATAACAGTCAACATTAATAGGTTGAATGATAATAAAAATATTGTAATTTCTTCTTTCTAGTAACATTCTTTTCCTCTGGAATTTCATTCTTTGATCCCTGGAAATTCCCTTTCATCTTTGGGACTGCTATTCTCTATTTATTAGGTGGGTTGGTTTGGTACATCTTAAATAAACAACATCTGAAAGAAGATATTGTGGATTCTAGAAATACATGATATGAATTAAAAACTGGTATTGTTCCCAAAACAGAAGACACTTCTCTTATTGATTATCTAGCAGATTTGTAGAAAATCAAGCTGCCAGTCAATGTGTAACATGTCTATTCTAGTTTAAGTGTTGCACTTGAAAAGATAATAAATGTTAGGAGTGATATAAGGGAAACTTGATCAATACTTAGGAGACATACCCATGAAGGCATTCGTGAATACAAAGATCACTTTCATTTTGTTGCAATGGGAATTTATGTATAGCATCTATGAGCATTTGACTTTATTTATCCTGAGAACTGACCACAGGTTTCTTAGAAGTGCTTACATTTCTTACCTGTGAAACTTCAAAATCAGCCTGGAGGTTTCCAGATGTTAACCCACTTAGAAGGACAATTTCATTTTCTTTTGGCTGTTGGACATTCATGGAGCTAATAAGTTTTGGAAGATCTGGTGAAACATTGACCAGTTTCTGTAGAGCAAGAATCTTTGTTAGCTTAGACGATTTCTTTTCATTTCCAAAATACTACACCAAAACTATGTTACTTCAAAAGTAATATACTCATTTAACTAGTTTGAGATTTTTAATCTACTAAGATTTTTATTAATAGATGGTGCAAAATTGAAGCACAAATGCTTGGATTGGAATAGAAAATTCCTTCTATCTAAATATTTAAAACTCTTTTCTTATAGATTTTCCAAAGTAAACTTTTAATAATTACTGCCATACTGCAGATACAGATAGTAGTTTAGGAATTTGTTTTTCCTCCTAAGGCCTTGAATAAAAGACTTGTTGAGTAATATCCATCTGTTCTAATAAAGCCAATAATAACAAAATAGTGACTTTAAATTTGCTCTGTGTATTAGGTATGATGCTAAAGACTGCACAAGTTCTTTTGAACATTCCTCTCATACTACAACAATGAGTGATATTTGGAACCCAGTGAAAATCTATAATGTGAAATCTCTTTGGGCCATTGGGTTTGAGAAACTTCTGGTGCAGCGTCATTGAAAAGAAAGTATTATAAGAATAACTGAGTATTTGCAGGTCTACTTATTTTTGTTAATGAAGCTTCAGATGTGACTATTACACACTGAACAGTGAATTGCAGCCATCTCCATTTTGTGCATAAAACAATAATCATGTCACACCCAAATAATTCTCTCCATTGTATCCACAGGCTTTGCTTCCAAGGGACAGACTGGGTCTTCAAATTCTTGCATGCAGTGAAGGATTTATTTTAGGATCCTCACAACCTTGGATAAGCTTGGCATAGGTGCAGCAGCAAAATGCAAAGATTTGAGCCCCAGGGGAAAGTAAGGGAGGGCTATCAGGTAAGAGATAAACCATTGGGTGAAAGAAGCAGGAAGGCGACAACCTGAGAGGAAGAGAGACTCTGGTATCAGGCAGGTTTTGAGAAAACCTGGGAAAAGCCATCAGAGAGGGTGTTTGAGAACAGAGAAGGGGAGAGCAGAATAAACCACTTTAAAGGCAGTGGAGGGGGCTGGGTGGGTGGGGAAAGCCTCTGTTTGGACAGCAAGTCTGTCCACTTGGGAAAGCAGGTTTCACAAAGATAAGGAGGGCAAAGTGCTTGGGAAGGTGGTGGGTAAAGTCAGGGAAATGGACTGTGACAAAGTCATTACAATAGATTAGAAAAGTCCCTCATTATTTGCAGATGAAGTCCTGGGGGGTGGGGAGTCTCCCCCTAGTGCAGCCAGCCTTTGTCAAGTTCCAGGGTTACCTGCTGCAGGTGTTCACAACTGCCCTCATTCTTGTTTATGTCCAGGTTCACAAAGCAGACCTGTGAAAGGAGCAAAAGCAGTCCATGAAGTGAAGTCTGGTGGTATTTCTCCAAAAAAGCAGGAATCAGTTGGGACAAATGATTTGAGAACCACACACATTTTATACAGAGGATCTGGCATAGAAACAGCTATTTTCTCCTTGGATGTAGATCAGCACTGGAGTCATAATCACTGCTGGTTTCACAAAGTACTTTCTTCCTTTAAAGCTTCAACAGACAAAACCTAGTCTCCTTGCAGAGATCCGATGTCACAGACCCAACAGAACCTTCAGAATTATAAAGTTACCAGGACCTCATGAAGAAAAAAGATGGTGACCCTTTAGGTTAATGCTGATAATTAAAGCCAATACTTCTTTCCTCTTCTTTTTCCTTCTCATTTCCTGCTCTCTTTCTCCTCTCACTTTTAATAGAGTGTATGATAAGTGGAATTCTCTTTGCTTCACAGTTTTAGTTATTTTTAATTTATGTCCTCTTGTAGAGTTTCCCTCATTCTTAGTTATCTAATGTATAAAACACAATGCTTAATCAAAATTAGCCAATAAAAATTGTTATGATTTAAATCGCCAACACATCACATAGAAAAAAAATTCTACTAGGGCTTTAAGATGGAGATAGGGAAGAGAAAACTTAAAATTTCAAAGAGGTAAGACATTTTCTTGAAAGATGACTAGGATATTTTGGGTGGAAGGTGATAATCCAGGTTTTCACAGTTTGATACCTACAATTTTGAAGGACCTCATTTATGAAAAAGCATGACAAAAATTGATAGTTCTAAATGAAAAGTGAAAGTGGAATATTTATCTATTTAGACAGAGCAAAGAAATCACAACAAATCTCAAATTTAAAAGGCTGGCAAATAGCACAAATATGACAACTTTCAGTAAAATAACATTGTAACATTGTAACTACCCAATACACCTCCAGAATACTTTTTTCCTACATGTTTAGTTTCTCTTTAATCATCTCTTCACATAACAAAAGTTTTAAAACATCATTTTTTCCCTTAAAGATAATAGAAAGTTTTACTCTAGTAGTATTAATAGACTTTTTTTGAGTTTCACAAACTTTTACTTTTCTTTCTTTTTTTTTTTAAAGATTAATTTATTTATGCATACAAGAACTAGGGTACAGGCCAGAGGTATGGGGGGGAGGTGAGAGGATTCACCAGAGACAGAGTGAAGAACAGAACAGCAGGATTGACTGAAGTACACTGCTGAGGGGAGCAGCGGGCAAGTCAGGAGAGGTCTGCTGTGCCATGTGGAAAGCTCCCTGCCCAGGATCGAACTCATGCTGCAGAGGCTGCGGATAGCTTCATAGGTTGCGTCTTAACCCCTTGCGCCACCAGGGAGGTCCCTACTTTTCTTTCTTTGGAATGACACCTAGGAGTGGAATTGAGGGTCTTATGGCAGATCCATTTTTAATCTTTTGAGAAACCTCCCTACTGTTTTCCACAGGGGCTGGAGGAGTTTACATTCCTGCCTTTCTAGACCATAGTCTACTTCCCTTCACCCTCATTAGATTGTCAGTTCATGTGGCAGGCCCTGTTCGAACTGGATTCTTAGTGTTCAGCGTGGCCTGGTATTTGGTAGAACGAGTAAACGCTTGTTTATAAATGTCTGTCCATTACTCAGAAAGTGGCTCCACTTTATTCATGCACAGACAAATATGTGTAGAATTATTTCCCTTATTTAATGAATGTCGTCCAAATGATCAATAAACAAAGTTTTCTTCCAATAAAGATGTAACAGAATATAAAGGTTTATATACAGAGAGAGATATATGCCAGTTGTATGTAGTTTATATACAGATTAAATTAATACAAATAGTATATACTGTATATAATATACTATGCTACATATACTCTTTTTTTTTTTTTAGAGGCATGTATTTTCATTTATTTATTTATTAATTTGTTTGTTTGTTTATACATGCACTGGGTACAGTCAGAAGCGCGGGAGGGTGAGAGAATTCACCAGAGCCAGAGCGGGGAGCAGAGCAGGCAGAGGGACCGAAGTACACTGCTGAGGGGAGCAGCGGGTGGCAGGAGAGGTCTGCGCGCCATGTAGGACCCTCCTCCGGTGGCCGGGGAGCAGCCAGAGATCGAACTGGTGCCGCAGAGGCTGCGGGCAGCTTCGCAACCCAGCGCTCAACCGCTGCGCCACTGGGGAGGCCCTGCTACATATACTCTGTATATATAATATATATCTGCTATAGTATAATAAACTATATAATGTATATAAACAATATACAACTATGTAGATTTAACTCTGATATAGCCATGATATATACTGTATATAACCCTTTAAATCTATATATACACATATGTATGTGTGTGTATTGACACACACACACATTTATATATATATATATATATCTAGAGAGAGAGAGAGATAAAGAACTAGAGAGAAGTCTAATTGGGCTAATATTAATCCCACTATTGTAACTTCTTAGAGGACTTAAATTGACTTCTTTGTCCACTGAAAATAGTTTTGCTAAAAAGTAGAAAAAAGTACAAAGTTGAGAACCACAGCATCAATAAATGCACACAAAAGACAGTTCTCAGAACAGCAGCTCCTGTCCCTCCATGCAGGACACACAGTGTTGTGTCCGCACGTGCCCTTGTTCGGCCCATCTGTAGAAAATAGGTGGAAACACTACCCTTGTTGAAAGAACACAAACAGCACTTTTCCTACCTATTTATCAAAACTAGTCTAGTTGCACAAACTTTTGAATTCATATGTATTTCTCCTATTGTTGTGGTTTGAAAATGAAATGTAGGAATTAACAGTATGGACAAAATGATGCCACTTTATGTTTTTTGACTTTTACATATGTAATAAAATATTCTTTAAGGTTATTTATGTACAGCAAATTTAAATGTTTATAGGCAATATGCTCTTTTCTCTATTTATTATCATGAATGATTTAGTCAAGTTATTTCAATGATTTATTTTCTTTACAAGCCCCTTTTCATAAACGGAGGACCATGTAGGCAGATTATAAAATATGAATTCACTATGAAATTTCATTAGTGGTATAAAATATATTTTGGTGAAGGTCTACTTTGGTAAGAGAGAGGTTGACATCTAATGAAATAAGTAAATAATTACAAATGGATTGTAATTCATTCACAGCAACTTTTGTGAGGTAACTAATAAATAGGTTATTTCAATACAAATGGAGTCAGACAAAAACAGCAGTACAATGTCATTAAAAATATAGATTTGGATTTAAATTTTTTTGAAGATTTATTTTTATTTATATGTACAGGAACTGGGGTATAGGTCATAGGTGCAGGGGTGTGAGAGGATTCACCAGAGACAGAGTAGGGAACAGAACAGGCAGATCTACTGAAATCCACTGCTGAGGGGAGCAGCGGGGAGACAGGAGATGTCTGCTATGCCATGTGGGGTCGGCTCTCTGGCCAGGGATGGAACTCATGTGGCAGTGGCTGGCGATAGGTTGACAGCGCTGAGACTTAACCCCTTGCACCATCAAGGAGGTCCGGGATTATTTTTTTATATTCAAAGTGCAAGTTTATTATTAAAAAGGAAAGGCTACTTGCACAGACATAGTGGACAGAAAGAGCCACCCCTGAAATGGACAGGTTTGTAAAAAGAAACACCTGCATAGTCACAGGCAGGCAGGAGAGCTGCCCAGGTATGGCGGTTCATGGGAAAAAAAGTGGAATGAAAGTCAAGGTCAAACTCATGTTGCATGTCAAGCTCATGTTGCATGTGGACATCTACCTTTTTTTGGTGTATTCATCTCAGTGAACATTTTGGAAGTTCGGATCATCCAGTGCAGGGGTTGAGAGGTGCCTTAGCCTGTTGTACCCACTCAGGGCAGATCACCCTGCAGAAGGCTCTGGCCGTGGGGACTCAGTGGAGGACGGGGGATGTTTGACTTCCTGTGCTGGGTATTTTTTCATCTTTCCTGAAATTATCTAAAACCATTTAAAGAAACCATTCTTATGGAAAGTTGCTTAGAAAATGTTAACAAAAAGCCTGCTGTCAGTTTGCCTTTAAAATCTAGGCATTTGAATGTTGATTATGAACAAATATGTACTTAAACTTTATCTTAGAAGAAGCTGGACGCCTTCTGCAGAAGCTCCTAACAATGCAGCCATCTGGCCATGTGGCGATGACAGAAACTCTTAATTTGATGGTCTCAAAATGCTGATCTACAAATCCTCCAAAGGAAAAATTGCCTCCTTTCTTTCCCCAACCAAAAGACTTCTGCTAGATTCAGGACCCTGACCAAAATTAGCTTTTGAAGAATAGACATTTCCCCTGATTAGTACTTTAGGCTGATGACAACTAAAATGGTAATTTTTACATCAGTGTTGTTATGCCATAGCCTGTCAGGCCCTTTGGAACACACTTGAGTGTTTGGAAAAATCCTGCATTGTATCCAGTTATTACTGCGTCGAATGATTATAGCAATCACTCAAAAGGAAATACACAGTGTTGTTTACACTTGGGATGGTCAAACTTCTCTGATTGTTTTATTGTCAATATTTTATAAAATTTTGAAGTGCTGTGTTGGGGATAACAATTCAAGCAGTTTGTGAAAAGAGATACCAGATATTTCTAAATGATTACAGATATTTTAACTAGTTCTACATCAAGCTAATTTTATTGATAGCCTAAGTTTTTTAAAGTGTGCTATGCAAGATATTTATTCCTTTTATTCATAATTTTTGTCATTTTAAAAGATTTCTTTTTGAACAAAAGGACACATATTCAATGTCTAGTAAACACTTTTCATTTTTTTTTAAAAGATTTATCTATCCATGCATACAAGAGCTGGGGCACAAGCCAGAGATACAGGGGGTGAGAGGATTCACCAGAGACAGAGCGGGGAGCAAAACGGGCAGACTGACTGAAATACACTGCTGAGGGGAACAGCGGGCGAGACAGGAGAGGTCTGCCTAGCCATGTGGGTTGCTCCCTGGCCGGTCAGGAATCAAACCCGTGCTGCAGAGGCTGCAGACTGCT